CCACTCCATGTCTATTTCTGATATTGTCATGTGTGTTTCAGAGAGGCCTTGAGCTAGAGGTGGCTGCAGTGGAGCACCAGTTCATCTTCATTGATGAGGTTGAACACACAAAAAAGACGAAAGAGGGGAAGGAATGTCATCAGCCAGCGTGCCATTGTTGAAGTCCCTGGCCAGCGCGGAGGGAACATCACAATGTGTGCAGCGATTACCCACCACGGCGTCATCCATCACCATGCTACCCTTGGCCCCTACAACACCGCCCATCTGATCACATTCCTGGACACCCTACACAACACTCATTACACCAGATCAGGTAGATCAGAGGTCACTAATAGGCGGACCGTCCTCTCCGGACCGCCGACCTACAGCCCATTTATTATTGAGACTTACTACCTCGTGACGGAGCGTTTCTATTTTAACCCGCGCAGCTTTTCTAGCATTTACTGTACTGGTTTAGAGGACCAGGAAACGCACAGACCAATCGCATGTGCTCCAATCGTCTCATGTGACGCTGCTCAGCCAATCAAATCTGTGCATACCGATGCTTGCGAGTTGAGTCCGCGAGATTCACCAGAGACGTTTTGGAAACACACGCGAATTGAGGAGACGAAAGATAAAAGAGATTTCACATGACTTTTAATGAAGAATGTACAGATTTTTACATGTACATTCCTCCCACGGGCAGTTCAAAACCAGAATATCTCATAGATCTCCAATATGCTAGATGGAGCTCACGTTTCTCACTGAACAACAGAAAGTAGGAAAGTGGTAGCTCTGTAAGAGGAAAAGAAAGAGAAGAGGAGGCATTACAGCTGTTCATTTGTTATGATGTGTTGAGTGTTTATTATAAAATTGGTTAAGACTACACTTCATCACTTCAAGCTACACTTTTTATTTATTTTTTTCTAAAAATTAGGCACTTTAGTTTACTTAAATTTAGAATTTATTATTTGAATAGTTATTATTTATTATCCTTCCAGTTTGATGTGAAAACTGACTGAAATATTATTTGATTTGACAGTCCGTTGTTGACTAAAAACATGTGTTGATACAACTATAGGTTATAGTACTGAATGATAACGCAAGTTAGTCGTTTTGATGTTCCGGACCTTTGCTTCGGGAAATTTTCTCTAACTGGATCTCTTTGAAATCTAATTGAATACCCCTGAGGTAGATGGTCCAGAGCAGCACAAGTACGTTGTCATTTGGGACAACAAAAGTTTCCACAGGGCTGCTCTGGTTCGTAACTGGTTCACTGCCCACCCACGCTTTTTAGTTGTCTACCTCCCTCCATATTCTCCATTCCTCAATCCTATTGAGGAATTTTTTTTTCTGCCTTGAGATGGAAAGTGTATGACCGAAATCCACAAACGTGTATACCTCTTCTCCAAGCTATGGAAGATGCATGTGGAGATATAGCAGCTGATGCTTTTCATGGCTGGAATCGCCATGCTAGGCGATATTTCCCCCGCTGCTTGGCCAGGGAAAACATTGCTTGTGACGTGGATGAGGTGCTGTGGCCAGACCGCAACAGAAGAGAGGATGCAGCATAGTTTGTTTTCAAGTGTGGTGGTTTTTTTTTTTTTTTTTTTTTTTAATTTAACTGTGTACAGTAAATTCTTTTTTGTATGTAGTGTATGTGCAAATTTGTGTTGGTTGAGAATGGGATGTACATTGTTTTTAGTAGTGTTTTACATTGAGCACATCAGTGTTCAACTGGTTCTTATGAATGTATATTCATGATTTGTGTCATTTGAAAACAAAATACCATTTTGAGAAGAAATAACATTGTTTTGAATGTAAAGTTTCATTTTGCAGGAGAATTGAGGGGTTTTGCCCTGTGTGTGTGTGTTTTTTGATTTGTGTGTAGAGTTCTGAAAATAAGGCATTCTTTCAGAAAATGTGTGTAAACAATCGAGGAAAACTGTAAATTAGTTTTTGGGATTACAACGTTGATTTATCTTCACTCGAGCTTCTCAGCATCTAGATTCCGCGCACATCTGGTTCCAGTGTTAGCGTGGTTTGGCACTACTTCATATTTATATAAAAAACGGCCTCGCGATGCCTCCCAGCCGATAAGTACCCCGTGCTTGAAGTAACATTTACTATCGGCCAAAACGGCGGCTGTAACACAGTGAATCAATATATTTGACCGTCGCGACCCGAGCGAAATGACTCGTTTCGCTATCAGAATGTGATCCATTGGGTCGATAACATTTGAAAAGGCTGTACCAGCCGCACGGAAACAATTTTACCCACATTTACGTTAGCGGAGCGCTAAACCGGAAGTTAGCCTGCTCGGCCGGCAAAAGTCAACACAGTGGACGCTGTAGCGCTACTGCCGACTAGCGTTTAGGGGAGTAATTGCTGAATTATGGACAGACCTACGCACACGTATAATGCGGCCCATTTATACTCCTGCGTAGGGTCTATGTGCGTACCTGCGCCGTAGGCTACACACGTAGCCATGCAATACTATATTTTCCAAAGTAAGGTCCCATGGTGGTCCACTTGAAGGGGAGGGCTTAGGCTCTCTATATATGTTTTTCATAAAATATGATCATGTTTTACCAAAATCAGTGTAAAGTTGTGTTTTTGTACACTACATCGGCAAGGCCCAGCCCCCACAAACACTTCAAGTGGGCTTCTGTCGTTTTTCCAACCTAATTCCTAACTCATTTGTGGATTTGACAAACTAAATATATGAAATTCAGTTTTCACAAAAATCTGTGAATAAATGGAAAACCAGGTTACATTGTTTATATTACATTTTAATTTTCAAATTTCAATTAACATTTGAATTTTGTCCACTGTACAGTGAGGTACGACTTTGAAAATTAAATGACAGCTTTTCCATTTTCATTTCAATAAGGTCATAGACCACCCATACAGGTATGTGAAAAAGAAAATGCAAATTAGATTATTGCATTTTCATTTTTATTTGGAAAACTAACGCTATTGTTGAATTATATTTTCAAGATTTTTCAATTTTCATGTTTACATAATCATTTTAATATAGTTCCACAGGCTTCCACACAAGTAAGCATTAGAAAATGTGCATCTGCAGTATTTAGGACTGCAGGATTGTCCATAATACATTCGGTCTAGCTGCTCGAACACAGTTTACATAAAGTCAAACATCCCCTTTAAGCAATTAAACTTACCCATATTTTCCTTTACAGAACTCAAGGTCAAGGTGAAAGTCAGGGTTGCACCCAAGGACTTCAACACAAAAGGACATAAGTACTGCGGTACATCTTCTCTCCCAGCTGTTTCCAGTGTTTACCTAACTCCCCCTCAACACTGTAGTATCTCCATAAGAGAAAAAATTTTTTGCCCCCTGATGTCTTTACCAGCCTGGGCAGCAATGGGACAGAGAGAGGCCAGGCAGATAGGAAATGCAATTAGAAGTCACAGTAAAGAGGGAACATTAGCAGCCACAGACAAAGGAGGTCACAGTCCTGCAGCTCCAGGTGAGGAAGGAGGTCGTAATCATAAGCACCCTGTCCCTTTCCTGCATCAGGAGTGGGTGGGAGGTGGCCGGGGAGGCAGCGACACAATGGCCTCAACTCTTTGTCAGCGGTCTCTGTGTTGTCCACAGTACTGAACCCCAAATGACCATGTACTGGATGATCCTGATCCCACTTCCGCATTTGGCCTAAATTATGACCTACTTGAAAAATAACGACATGTATGGATAGGCATTATACATAAACTTAATGTAAAGATTGATCAGATAGTGTCCAGTGTTGGTTGGTTTGACTTTTTTATCCAAAGTTTTTCACATACGACAAAATGACACCCAAGCAGGTTAGTATTATTGACGTAATTCCATATATTTTCATTGATGTCTTTTGTTTTGCTGAACCTATTCTGTGATTTGTTTTGTCTTCTACTACAGGGACATGCAATAAAATGATATGAGTCGACAGGAAAATGCACAGAGATGACAGGAAATGTGTTTACACAGACCAGCATCAACATGATGATTTTCCAGTGGAGTAGATTTAACACGTCCTGTATCTCTGTCAGTCTAAAAAAGCGACTCACAACAGCATCCAACCAGCTGACCTTTAATATCCCCACAGCTACTCCTGCAGTAAGCTGCACATCCCAAATGTGGAAAAACACTTGTGTTAAACAAAGGAAATCCTTTAGACGGGAAAGAGCCCTCCCTTCGCTCAAGTCTAAGTACTGTATTTATTAATTGGCACCAACACAATACACTTGTGGTTCTTGAATTAACAGAACATTCCCATCCTTTTACTAGTGCAACGAACAGGATGTTTGTCTGTTCTCATGACAGCTCCTGCTCCATTCTGGCTCCATTGTAATGTTGTACTGGTCCAAATGAAAGTAAATTTGCAACAAAATAATTCTATGATCCATTTCAATAATTTAAAAGTCTATTACAAAGATATAAAGAAAGTGTCACTTGTATCTTACAAATGTTCAAACATGGGATATTTAGTTCTACATGCTAACAACCCTGTTTATATATGTATTTATATTAATTTCTGTCTTTGTTTCGTAAACCAAGCAATCTGACTGCTTTTGTTGTGTTTAAGCTTATTTTGGGAAAGGTCAGAACACTTATCAGATACCAAGTTAAGCTCTGTATTTCCCCCCTCGTGTTCTTTATAAGAGATATATTTGGATTTTATTTAGGCTATGGATATCCGTGTCCTCTACGGTTAAGTGATGGCACATTGTTTTAAACAACAGCATGTAGGCCTACAAGAGTGTTTCCAAAGGTTCCTCCCATCTGGCTCCGCCGGCCTGCTGAGAGGTTGGCAGGTAAACATAAACATGCTGGAGGCATAAATCGCATTGCCAGTAAATATTGCATGAAACATCACAGGAGGGGTTAGGGAGTCATTTGTAGACCATTAACCACACAATAGGTGACGCACACGGACAAAAAGTTATTTTTGGGTCTGCATTGGGTAACACCTTAACATGAACAGATTTGTTTACAAAGAAGAGACAGGGACAGTTGCTTACATTTAAACAAAGCCTTTATTTTTCTGTATTTACAATGTAAAAAAAATACTACATTTGCTTATTCATGCTAGGTTGCGTGCTGTGTAGATACAAATCATTACATTTATTCATTTAGCTGACGCATTTTATCCAAAGCGACAACTGCTATATATGTCAGAGGTTGCATGCCTCTGGAGCAACTAGGGATTAAGTGTCTTGCGTGGTCTTAAGTGGAAACATTGGTGAATGGACAGGGGGAATTGAACCCGGGTCTCTCACACCAAAGGCATGTATCTTATCCACTGTTCATTAACATGAACACATTAACACACAAACTTCACATTGTATATTCAAAAGTGCAATAGTTATTCAAATTAAATTCTTTAAATGAATATTTAAGTATAAAAACAGTATAATATAGGGTACATTTTTTTTGAAATACTATATGTGAACTCACTATGAAAAGCTTGTATTTAGCTTTGTGTAATAGATACAGTGGAAGATAAATCTCTAATAATTTTCAAGTCAAGATGGTCTAACCCAACATTCTGGAGAGATCTTGGTTCTCCCTGGGAAAAGAAAGACAGAAAGAAAGAAAGAGCGGGAGAGAAACCTTACATTATTTATTGATGTGATACTGATGAGTGAGTGCATCAAACTTAAAAACATCACAGCTTTTTGTTAATAGTTACTTTTGATGATATTCTATATTTGTCATATTGACAACAAATCCCAACAACGAATTGATCAGGCAAAGTCTGTTTTAGTTCATTCCTTTGTGCCATGTCGGCTCTATTTTTGAGCAAAAACGATAAAAAAAAACATCAAAGAGCCACACTGTTGCACGGACATGCATCCATCATTACAATGAACATGGGCACATTAGTTTATTTTGAGCCAGTCCTGTATACACCATGCTGCTGCTGTGAAAACTTACAAGAGCACCAAATGTGTATTAATACGCGCCTGAAAATAGTCCCCAACAAATGCTCTATATTTACTTCTGTTTGGCACTGTAGTTTGTAGCAAATGTTACCCAATGTCTTTTAGAAAATCATTAGCATTTAAAAAAAAGGATACTATATATTTATGACCTTGAGTGTGTTTTTAAATATTTACATTTCCATAAGGAACCAGCGGATATGGGGCTGATTGCTACAGACAGGGAAATCAAAGTATTGAGACAGACTAATGTGTTTTTGTGTGGATTTGCTAACAATAACAAAAATATGGAATATTACATCTGTGCACACACTGTTCAGACTGCAACAAAAACACTTTCACACTCACTTTCAAACTAAAGCTAAAGAGACTTATTACTCACTGTGGGCCAGGAGGATTGATGAGGCGCTGCACATCCTGAAGGTAATGAGCAATGTTGACTGTTGGTTAAACATAAGGAAAAATTGATTTGTCATTATCATGTCATGAAGTAATCAATCAAGCTGCTCTAATGCTTCACAATACTAAAGAACTGCTCATTGTTGGCACTTTTTCTGAGGTGCTCAAAAGGCTATAAATATCAGAATCATTCATTCCAAGTTGATGAAAAGTCCCAGAATGGGTAAACAGATAAAAAACTGCAAATACTGCATTTATTAATTCTTACTTGTGCCACCTCCTGGTCCACTCGTCCTTCCAGCACCAAATGACGATCCAGTTCCACCATTACTATTCCCACTTGATGTTCCTCTCCCTGTTCCGCTTCCTGTCTTACTTTGTCCTGAGTTAATGTTCCCAAACCAAGAAAATGGGGAGAGGTTTTGCCCACTCTTGCTCGTCGATCCAGTTGACCCAGAGGATGACCCACTGGTTGATGGGCCTCTCCCACTCACTGCTGGTTTATTTGAGCCTATTCCACTTGAGCTAAGACTTGGATTTGACCCTGCTGAACCAAAGCTTGAGAAAGCTGGCTTATTGAGTCCTGACCCTGTGGAGCTACCTGACCCAGTGGACAATAGGGATGTGCTTGAAGAGCCCGCACCAGTTGATACTGGCTTATTGAATCCTAACCCAGTGGAGCTACCTGAACCAGGTGACAAGAAGGATGAGCTTGAAGAGCCCGCCCCAGTTGATTCTGGCTTATTGAATCCTAACCCAGTGGCACTACCTGACCCAGGCGACAAGAAGGATGAGCTTGAAGAGCCCGCCCCAGTGGATACTGGCTTATTGAATCCTAACCCAGTGGAGCTACCTGACCCAGGCGACAAGAAGGATGAGCTTGAAGAGCCCGCCCCAGTGGATACTGGCTTATTGAATCCTAACCCAGTGGAGCTACCTGACCCAGGCGACAAGAAGGATGAGCTTGAAGAGCCCGCCCCAGTGGATACTGGCTTATTGAATCCTAACCCAGTGGAGCTACCTGACCCAGGCGACAAGAAGGATGAGCTTGAAGAGCCCGCCCCAGTGGATACTGGCTTACTGAATCCTAACCCAGTGGAGCTACCTGACCCAGGCGACAAGAAGGATGAGCTTGAAGAGCCCGCCCCAGTTGATATTGGCTTATTGAATGCTCCGCTAAACCCAGGTTGACTGTGTGTGCCTGCCAGAGAGTTCGAGCCCCCTGGAAATCCAGCAAACCCTGTCTGAAATCAAATAAGAGCAATGTTAATATGGGGGGAAATTATTCTAAAAACTTATCATTAACACTATACAATGCAATCAGACTATTTTGAAATTAACACACAAAACATGATTGTATTGAATTACGTTTTCTGTTTTAAGACACAAAACCCCTGATTTCTCAATTTGAATAACATCATAAAGCTTTATGTCTCGTTTATAAATTTGCCTGTACACAACAGGAGACACTTAACATAACTGATGGAAATATTTGCCCAGTTCTCACCCTTCTGCCCTTTGGTACTTTGCTGGCAGACCCTCTCCCACCACCTCCTCTGTACTTTATCAGGCTGCTTTAATTTCATACATCTTATGTAAGGCCTTAAGATCTCAAAGCACTGAGATAAGGGCTTTGTCAGTATTTCAGTATTTCTACTTCTATAAGCAAATTTATCTAGATGAGAATATTTTTGACAACACAGCTAGAATTTGTACGTCAAAAAATGACCTTATTGCTGCACAAAAGTATACAGAGCATTACATATTACAGGGGTTTGGTAAAAGTCAACAGCTATGCAATGTGATAACTTGAATAGACTCACATTACATTATACTATACTACAGAATCAGTATATCTTGACTGTAGTATCTGCTGATGCTGTGTCAAATGAGATACTCTTTTCTCCTGCTTTCACGGGCAAACTGCTTCTCTTAAAACAACAATTAATATTGTTCCGAAGGTTTTACAATATTGTTAATGGTACAGAAATGTACAGCTTGTGGCCCCAAGAGGCCATACTGCTGCTTACACCCCTGCAGAGATTATAACATGTTCATGTACTCAGTCAGTGCACTTGTTTTCTTACCCTAGACATGCAGGACATGTTGAGATGCTTGAGTTTCTCTGTAAGGTGCTCGACCTCTTTACTTTTATATTTGACATTGTTGCCCAGGACTTCTATCTCTCCATTTAGCCTCATCTTGTCCATGAGGAGTCTTTCCTTGTCCTCATCATGTTTCCACTGAAGCTTGTCCAAGTTCTGTTTGTTCTGCTGGATCAGGCCCGTGCGGTTCTGGCTGCACCAGCGGTAGTCCTCAGACAGTCGCCAATTCTCTGCCTTCAAGCGGCTGTTCTCGCCCTGGATGCCTGACACCTGCTCTCCCACACTATTCAGGTACTGCTGGAACTTGTCCTCCACTTCTCTGGACAGGCTGGTACAATTGGTGCGGATTTGCTCCAGGTGTTCCCTTTGTTTCGCACAGGTGAGCTGGAAGGCGATGTGTACAGGGAAGAGAGAATCAACCTTCTGTAGGAAAGCCTTAGTGACATTAGAGACACCACTCAAGGACTTAGCAAAGTCATCTTTGCATTTCTGTCTGTAGAACTCCACTTCCTTTTCATGTGTGGATTTGTCCCTCCTAAGACTGATGGCCTCCAAGTTAATGTTGTCCCTGTCTTTGGCAATCTGGTCCATTTCCATCCTCATTCTCTGCCTTGTTTGCGTGAAGTTGGACTCCACCAACTCAAGCCTGGCTTTCAGCTGTTCAGCCAGCAGCCCACAGTTACAGCCAGCTAAAGGTTGTAAAATCAAAAGAGAAAATGTGTTATTTATTTAGTAGATTATTTCTGAGTTTGCGCTGAAGAAATGTCATACTTACTTTGTGTTTGGCATGGGCCATAAAAACGTGCTGTGTTCTTGGACATCGTCAATTCGCTATAGCACTGTTGCTGTTAGTGAGAGAAAGGCCATTGTTGTTTTAGTGACTTGTTTAGACCAATTAAGAAGTATAGAAAAAAACAGGGAAAAACATTGATCATGTAGAATTTAACTTAGCCAAGGTTATTATCTGTCATACAAATATTCAGAAGTGGTGCTTTAATGTATAATAATTAAAATAACAATAAATCTGTTGTGTTGCCTCTTGTTCCAAAAACTAAGACAATAATCAGTGGTGTGAATATATATATATATATATCTCAGTATTTGAAACCAGTATGATGCAATTAAAGCTCTTTAGAGCACACCTTTTTTTTCTGCTGAAGCTCAGCTTGACTAATGCATTGCAGATGTACTGATGGGTATTTTGCTTTTATCTGTGCTCACACTACCAACAGTTAGTGAACCATACTGGCACAAACATATCCAATCCTTAATTTCTCTAGCTGTTGTAAGGTTACGGAGTTTATTCCTAATAAGTTAAATTGCCCATGAAAACACTAAAGACAGGGACTTGTACGGTATGTTAGATATAATCAAATGGCTTAGCTTAGTTTCTTACCAGCCTCCCTTCCCTTTCTTTAATAATAATCAATGAGATGTTTAAGTAGTTGCGCGTCACGGCAAGGTCCCAGTCATTTCGCGCCTTTTCAGTCAGGGTGACGTTAAGTAAGTTGGTCAAGTTCTTCCTCTGCTGCTTCAGGGCGACATTCTCTATGGAGAGCCGGCTGAAGCTCTCTTCCAGGTCCTGGATGCGCGACGTGCACGCTGAGTCCTGCTTCTTACCATAGATCAGAAAGAGCACCAGGCTAACTATGATAAGAAACTGAATGAGCGAAGAGAAGAAGAAGACAATCCGCATGTAGTAGCCGCAGCTCTTTCCCTTTGAGCGGTGCTGCATCTTCTTTCGAGCCTCCGAACTGTACTTGGAGACCTCGGAGTAGCCACTGCTGTACATGGGTACTGATGGCCAAAGGAGATTCAGAGAGAAGTAGTATATAGTTCAGTCCAAGACTTTAGGGTTACTATGAGCGGCCAAGTTCAAACAAGGCTCATCTCTAAATCAGAAGCCGGTCAAGTTCCTCCTCAGCACTCAGTTTCACAGTCCAGTTGTTGTGCGCCTACTCTAACAAAGCCCAAAGCACTACAGACGAGGTCTAGGCATTTCCTCTCTGCAGCGTTGATAGCATGAGAACTGATCGAATTGTGCGTGAGGTGTAAGCATGGGCAGGAATTTATAAACTCCTTTGTCCACACACTTCCCATCATAGGAAGGTTGGTTGGCCTTAGTCCCCTCCCTCCGTAAGCTATTGGTTATTAACAGTTAGTGAAAGCTGTAGTTTATACTGTTTATTAGCACTTCTGTGTACTTGTGACTCATATAAATGTTCGTACACAAAGTGCTGTCCAATAGCTGTATGTGGACGTGTTGCTACAGTGTTTAGTGTGAGTAAATACCGCACAATGTTTTTTAATCAACCGGCGTATCACTAGCTAACCTGGCTAATACAAACAGCTGGCTGAGCGAGGTTTTCAGACTTGTAACTGGACCGCCGCTAACTTGGGTGTGACGTCATTCCCAGCTGCAACCTCCGACTAAGGTAAATGGAACGCAGCGTGTCTCCCTGCAGCTCTGTCTGCCCCTTCCTACGCATAGGTTATCACACACACACACACACAGCCAGTTTGCATGAGTGTGCAGTAGGTGCCGCACACAACCCACACGTTTGTCGAGTTCGTGTTTAACACATCAAAAGGGCATTTTAGATTTCTTCACCATAAAATCTACTTTCATTAGCATTTGTTGTTGAGCAAATCAGTATGAACCTCTAAAGTAAGAATGCAAAAAAGAAGAAAAGTCTCAATTTGGTGTTTTGATTAGGTCACATTTATATTGGCAACACTTTCAGTTTTTTTTCACTCACTGTGTGAAGCTTCTCCATAAATGTGTCAAAAACATTTTTTATGGGATCATGAACAGTGTTTTCCTGTGTACAGCAGGCCAGGAGGACAATGGCTCATGTCGTTCTATTAATGTTCTTGTTTAGTGGCTCTTTGATGCCGCAAGTCTCTGTCCAACATGGTGACGTGGGTAAGCTTCCCTCTGTCTCATAGCATGCTCACACACACACACACACACAATTTAAAATAAAAATACAAGAGTATGACAGTAACAGGCAGAACGTTTTCCTGCCAGGCATTGTTGACGTGCCAGGCCTCATCTTGAAAGGAAGCAGTAATTCATAGAGGAACTGGCCAAGCCTGGAACAACTTTTAGGACTAGATAAAAGGTGCCAAGAAACGCAGGATATCAGAAATAGGAGACATAAACAGTCACAGTGTTGATTTAATTGAGATTCAAGTGGGTTGTTTTTATCTACACTTGTAAACACTGGGTATGGAAGTTTTTTTTTTTGTTTTGGATGTAATTACATTTTGGATCCATTCATGGGATGTTGCCAACACAGTGCTTTCAAATCAGTAAGAAAGGCTATTTTCATAGAGAGAGGACAGTCTACTCAGCTTAGCCTACTAATGTCCAGCAGACGAAAATTAAATAGGAAGTTAAATAAGAAGAATAAAAAGTTTACTGCAAAAGTGGTTTTGTAAACAAATGTCTCTGCATTCATGAAACTGAAACAGAGGTTCATGTATAGGCTGAGCTTTTTAGGGGTAATACCATATTTGCTTTCTGGACGGGAGTTAATTAAGAAGATTTGATTTCAGTCTCATGCTGTACTCTGAAGCTACAGCCAGCAGCCAGTTAGCTTAATTTAGCAAAAAGATTGGAAACTAGGGATAACGGCTCTGTCCAAAGGTTACAAAATCCACCTACCAGCCCCTCTAAGTTCACTGATCAACACATTATATTTAGTTTTTTTTTTTACTTAACAAAACTGAAGTGTAAAAAATACCTGGCAACTTCAACTACTACACCAGCGTTTTCCAATCTTTATGCTATGCTTAGCTGACCAGCAAATAGCTGTAGCTTTACATGAGAGTGTGACAATTTACTCACCTATCACAAGAAAGTGAATAAGCATATTTCCCAAAATGTGGAACTATACTCTAATATTATAATATTGTTAGAAATAACATAAAACAATTTAATATAATATAAAAAAGAACAAATTCAGACTTGTTTCAATGTGGAGTAAAACTGCTGCTAAGTGTGCTGCTTATATATCTCAAAATTTCTGCTTCAGTATATCCAATCGCTAAATCAAAAATCCGCGTAACATGGAACAGTTATTGCATGTCTTATTTGAGCTACTTCCAAAAACTAGAAGTATGGTCAAAGGTTTATTGGTGTGTCTGTCTGGAACTGATAATGTATCTGTGTAAAGGGTGTGAGCATTGTAATTTTGCAGAATGCCATCTGTGCTCTACTGCACTTCTGCAGCTTCTAACAATGTATGTCTCAACAAGTGAGAGCTGATACAGTAAAATGCTTTGATGCTTTGAAAATGGTGTTAGGGGATCACTCAAATGACATAAATACATATCTACACAACTACTTCTAGAGGCGCTTAGCCATACAGATAAATTTGCTTTAAGGTGTTGAGGTTTTGTGAGATTCGCCTCTGAAATATGTGGAGCCATCGCAATTAAATGAAAGGAGGATGGAGTTTAGTTTGTGCTGCTCATTGAACATTCAGAAAATTAATCTTTTAAAGGCATCCAAGACTACAAGTCTGTTTCACCTTTATCTCATTTATGATTCTTTTGACTCCTGAGAGTAAGGAGTTGCTCCACAAGTTGCTCCCCCCAACAGAGGCATAGCCTACGCTTTTCCAAAGGATGTTTTATGAAAGTGCACCTTACAGTTGCAAATAGATGAACCCCAAGTTACTGAGCCAGAAACCCCGAGAGATCACATCATGCCACCACATCATTAGTACTAATGAAGGTCATACAATTATCAAAACAAATTGTACGATTAAATATCATTCTAAGAGACTTGATAATACCAGCAATATTTTTTGTTAGAAAAAGAAAGTACGTTCCAGTGAGAAGTGTTTAAACCACCCATATTCTGTTTATCTCTTAGTTAAAAAACTGGTATCAAAAGATTCCCATGTGGATGTTTAATGGCCCAAATTGGCAGCACCTCATGGGTGAACAAGCCAAAACTGTACCACACACCACCCAGTTACTGTAGGTGTGTAGCATCTGCTACTGTTGTTGAGGTTACACGGCTTTAACAGAATTTACAGTTTCAGGAGGGGAATTGGGTGTCAGATTACACCCCATACTGGGTCAGGGAGCGAAGGAACTGAGCTCTACTGTGTTGGCAGTCTTCTGGGTATGAAATCTCCTGTTAGACACAAAGCAAACTGTGAACTCTACTGTAGATATGGAAAGATGCTGGCGTACACAAGTCTTTTGTCAGGTGATCATGTCTAGACTGCAGAGGGCAAGTCAGAGCCGGGAAATCTGCATACAAACAGTGTTTAGAGGGATGGTTTCCTGTCAGCTGAAGGAGTCTGTTGAGATTGTCTTGGCCTGGTTTGGGGTGATTTTGTTGAGCATAAACTACATGCCAACATTTAACCAACTGCATTAACAAAGTCATCTGAGGTGTAAAATGCAAAAGTGTCAGTTATTGTTCAAATTGTTCAACTCACTCAAGTCACACTTCACTCTGTTATGCTCATGTTTTTTAATTTGAATACATCATAAACCCTCCAAACATCCACTGGGTTTCCACTGAGATCAGCTTGTGTCAGCTTAAAACACAGAATACTTTGAATGAACAGCATTAGATCTGGAATTTTAATTTTTCATTGACACAATGAGGCCTTGGTGGCACATTCATGGTGGATTAATTGTCATGGAACACTGCCACCTAGTGGGGAATCAATATAACTGCTGCTGGAGATCACCTACCTACACCATTTATCAATAAAGTAGTGAATGAAGTAGAAGATTTCAGAAGAAAAGTATCCTTAAGTGAAGCAGTGAAAATATGGTAGTAAATGGGGACAAGATAAACAGCTGTACATGATAAAATGTTGTATTTTACTTATTCATGGCTTTAACTGTTACTGGTATTATTTGTATTAAATATTTGATGGACTGCGTCTCACATACTGCCTACGCTTCTGAATTTTTAAACTAACAATCACCTCCAAGTATGAAAAATGTAAACTAACCTAGAATCTCGCTGAAATGTGTAATTATAGTGGCTGCTTTGAACACAGCTTTACTAATACATGTTAGGCCTATTTCTTTCTCATGCACTAGGTGTGACAGTCTTTGCAAGTTGCAGGCCAAGGCAAAGTAAATTTACTCTCAAAGGAAAAGTTTTGCATTGTGGATAATCCCCTTAGGGTTAGAGTCCCTAAGTAACTAAAGGGGGGATAGAGTGGGAGATGGGGAATCAAAGGAGTAAAATAAGCAAAGGTGGGAGACCTGCCTGTTTTTATTTTCTATTTAACTTTTAAACTTTTTTATATTTCCCTGTTGCTTTTATGTTTTATGTAAAGCACTTTGAATTACCTTGTTGTTGGGTATTTATACAAATATACTGGCCTTGCCTTGCCTTATTCACATTCTTACTAAGAGTGAGATGAGAAGATCGATACCACTGGAGCCAGCAGATGGCTAGCTTAGGTTAACACAAAGCACAACATAGGGAAACAGCTGACCTTGCTCTGTCCAAAGGTAACAAAATCCACCTACCAGCTCCTCTAAAGCTCACTAATTATCATGTTACCCCTTGTACAAAAACAGAAGAGTAAAAACAAGAAGTTGTAGATTTATGCTGGGTTAGGTGCTGAACGATTTCTTGCCCGTGCACACTAACTTCCTGATTTCTTACCTTTGGACAAAACCAAGCAAGCCATTTCCTCCAGTTTCTAGTTTTTATGCTAAGCTAAGCACAATTTGGCTTTGAATTCATTTTAATTTATGTAATGTGTAAAAAAAAATGTTTTAAAAACAACAATTGGGTGTTTTACAAGGGGTGGGGGATGGAGGGTGGGGGTTATTTGCCAGACTATTTGTTGGCTGGGAGCAGTAACCTCCTGGAATCTCTGATGTTTGTCTAGCAACTGCTAGTGTATCCTAAAATGCCTAACTATTCCTTTAATGAAATATTTGGAAAACAATCCAATTTCTGTTTTCTATTTATTCCAGCACTTCTCACTCTTTCCACATGTACAATCACACCATGAGGGTTCCGTCCAGAGATGTTTGGCTAATTGGTAAC